AACGAAGTAGCTCGGTGGTTTAGTGGATAAGCGCCGCGGCCCACGATCGATGTTGTTAAGCATCTTTCGCAAGGGTCGGTCACGGGACGGTTAACCAAAAAAATATTAACTCGAGCTACTCTGTGCTTCGGTAGGCACGTTAAGCCGTTGGTCCCGGTTGCATTTGCAGTCGTTAATACCCTGCAATCCGCATTAGGCCAGCGTAGAGGACTATGGCCCATCCTCCTTAACCTTCCATATGGAAGGCTTGACTGTACCCCTGCAGTTGGGACGTAAATGGGCTGATTATATAGATGAGGAAACGCTAGAAAATTGTTACACGTTTTTGTCACGAGCTCCCAGTCTATTTCACACACTGCCATGAAAACACATTACATACACTCACTGTTAGCGTCATATTAAAATTACAAAGCACCAAGGGTGATCATTGTCAAATACATGAAATCTTTTTTGTCTAGACAAAATTGCATATTTACGAAAAGTGATTTAAAATATTTTTCATCATTTCTTCAAATTAACTAATTGTTTCTATTTGAGTCGAATCAATTTAAATGAAGTTATTAGTTAGCAGAATAGAATAGGGTATTTGACACTATTAAAAATAAGTTACGTATGATGGGGTCATCCTGTTAGATAATAATCTTATAAAGTTGATTTCTTAGAATCTGCAGACAAAATATGTTTAGCTTTAGTAAAATAACGTAAAAAAATGCAACATTTTTAGGAATTATAACGAACGAGGAAATCATCTATAATTGGTTGGCGTCGCAACCAATAACGCTCTGTCTACCGGCATGTGACGTCACAAATATCACGTGATCAGCGCCATTACAAAGAGCAGCGTATTTGGATATATAAGCTGTAAAGATTATTTTCATCGAAAATTAAACTGATTCTCATGAAATTTACAGTATGTTTATAATATATCAAACAATCGATTAAAATTTTTTTTCAGAAAAGCTTTAAATACCCTATTGAAAAAATTAAAAAGGGTGCCAAGATAATTTGATCACTCTATGCTTAGATTAAATAAAATTTTGGGTGCATTGGTAATTTCGCTTTAAACTAACTATGATTTTAACTAATCACGATTTTAGTTTGGACGAACACTAGAATATAATTAGTAATTTTTCACATACTATTTGTTGATAATGGTTTACCTCTGGCGGTGGATCCATTTGCGATTGCGATATCGCAAGTCCAACAATACAAAAAAAGTAAACAATGTTCCTCATGTCAGCACTGGGTGTTAAAGCAAACTGTAGTATTACATTAAACGTTCGTTTTATATAGTTTCTCTTTGTAAAGAGTTTGCGTGTCTCATCTGATTAGAAAAACTTTTTACAGGATACAGAGTGTTTGGTGTCAACTTATTATTAGTCTGTGATAGGTACGTATTATTTTAATTGAAGAGATAATGTACAATAACTTGTAAAGTAGATAATGATTGTCCCAACTTTATTATTAAAAATATAATAATAAGGTACCTGATACAAATAAGGCCTATGCTCTAATAAAGCCTGTAGCCCAGAAAAGTCGGTTAAAATATCTTTACATCAAAAATACTTCACACACGCATAGACCACAGTCCTACGACTCGGCACACAGTATTATTAATTTGTCGTATTTTCTATTGAGTTTTTAACGTTATTATTTCAAGTTTTGTATCAAGTTGTCAATACGGATCACAATATAACTCATCGAAAAGGTAACTATGACTTTAAATATATTTTTTTTAGAATATACGAATTAAATACTGCTTTTAACACATATGAAGTATATTGAATTAAATAAGGCCTACTTTTAAATTAGGCCTTATTTCTGACCCTAGGCCTTATTTCTGATCGTAGACCGTTTTTATAATTCTGTTGATTTTAAACTTTATTACGTTATTATTTTATTAATTACAGATTGATTATCTATCTCAGTATGTCTCCTTCAAGACATAAACGGGCTACTTGGTCCGAAGAAAGCTTAAGAGCGGCAGTTAATGATGTGCGTTGTGGGCGATTGTCGACTTACAAAGCTTCGGCGCAACATGGTGTTCCAAGAAGAACCATTAGAAATCACCTAAAAAGTGGTATTTTACACAAGAGCTTAGGAAGAAACGCTATATTTACGAAAAAGCAAGAAAAAGATTTCGTCAGTCGTATAATCAAATTTTCTGAAATCGGAATTCCTCTTACGCCAAAAATGATTCGGGTTCAAGCATTTGCTTTTTGTGACAAATTTAACATTGTCAATAATTTTAACATAGAAACAGGACTTGCAGGAAAAGGCTGGCTAAGATTATTTTTACAACGAAATCCAAACTTAGCAAAACGTAAAGTTCAATTCCTAAATCCAGCTCGAGCCCAGAAACTAATCGTGAAAAAAACCAGAAACTGTGGTGGATCGTCACAACTAATCAATGCAAACGTAAGAAGACCTCACGAAAGTTTGACAGGATCTAAAACAAATATTGAAACAGATACTGACTCACGTCAGTCCTCACCCATAGGGAATTTTCAGCAATTGCAAAATCTGATCGATGGCGAAAACGTCTTACCATCGTCTCCCGCTACACCTGACCTTCGAGTATTTTCGTCTGACTTCCCCATAGAACACAGTACACCACCTCGAAAAAATATGAATACCCAAAATTGTCTCGACAATCTTCCTGGGACCAGCGGCTTACAGTTTACCCACCGATTAGTAGAATATAGTGATAGTACAGGAAATGAACAGGACACTATAACGTCCGAAGAAGACAATATCTACGAATTTATAAACAGGTATATTCCACCGAAACGCCTAAAAATTTACTCTTCTTCAGACACAGAAAGTGAAATCGAAAATGTAAATCCCAATACTGTTACTTTGCCCAAGTCTGATGGCGAAGACCCTGAAGATGACGAACCTTTGGCTAAACTTGCCGGAAGTAAGAAGACTGATTTCCAAAAATTTATGCCTACACCTGACTATAGTGTTGCTAAGAACCGTCCACGTAGAAAAGCTATAAATTATAAAGGTCAGAGAGTAACCAAAGATTTATTTAATACAGATAAAAAACCAAAAAATATTAATTTGAAGAACATGAAGAAAGGAAAGAAACCTGCAAAAAAAGACCACAAACAAAACAAGAAACGTTTGATTAAACCAAAATCAACTAAAGATAGAGAAGAGTGGTACTGCCTTGCATGTAAAGAGGATAGGCTTGAAAGTATGAGACAATGCGTGGAGTGTCATCAGTGGTATCACGAGCAATGCGTCGGGTTGACGAAAAGCGATCTAAAGGCATTTGTTTGTCCTAATTGTCAGGATAATTAATTTTATAATTACCTTCGCTAGTATTATACTATATTATCAGTAAGACTGATTGATGTTCCTAAGCAAATTATGCTCCTTAAGTTTTAAGGCCTTATTTAGTAACCTTGTTTAATTAAGGCCTGTCAAAATAATTTTATTTTTAAATATTTACTAATATTTTTGAGAAGATACGTTAGTTTTCTAATTTTTGTTTGTTAGGATACGTTTTTTTAAATATTATTCTTTATTTCTTGTTAATATGCGACTTCAAGTCTGAATAGTATATTAAGCATATTTATTAGTAAAATAACTTAGAAAGTTGTTCAAGAATCTCATTGAAACTGCTTTAAAATATATCTTTTTATATAATTTTTATATAATTAAGACTCTAATAACAGTGTTCCTATTAATTAAGGATATAGGCTTTATTCAATCACTATGTTTTAAAAGGGCCTACGGCTTAGGTTTAAGGATTACCTGTTTTTAAGCGATTTTTGACAAAAAATTACAACATGTTTTCTTAATCACTTAAAATATATAAACCAAAGAACAGTGCCTTGCTTTTAAATATCACCTTTTTAAATAATTTTATCAAGATTTGAGTGTTTCAAATTAGGTAGGCCTTATTTGTATCACTTACCTTATTTTTTGGGGTACAAGACTTTTTAAAATCAATATATTTTAAACGATTTCTGATATTTATCAACTACAACATAAAATTTATGTCGTGGCCATATTGTAGAATTGATCATTTCAAGATCCGGCCGGCCATTTCATGAAACAGCCACCTAAAATTATTCATATCGTTTAAGCGTCAACTTTTAATAATATGGCAATTCACCATGATCGTAATATATCATACCTAAATGTAGGGTGTCCTAAAAAGAAATTTACTATGCTGAAAGTTCCAAGCTTCAGACTTCAAAAAACCAGAGGATCATTTCTGGGTAAATGTATTGCTATGTTCAATAAAGTTCCACAAAATGTAATGGACCTACCCATAAATAAATTTTAAATTCATGTAATGAATATACTTATGAGTAAAGGCTATTATAAAGTTGATGATTATTTTAAGGATCGCAATACATGGAATTAATAGCCTTCGCTTTGTTCTATAAAGACTAATTATTATATGTTCAACCTATGTCCTACAGACTTTGAAAGTTGTATTTACTATTGTGATAAATTGATAATACATATTATTTTGGTAATGACATGATTTATGTAAATGTCATTACTTATGATAAAAAGCTGATAAGTTTCTTTCGCTTGTTCTTCTTGTCAGCTAAAAGACGTCCTGAACAAGTGGTAGGGGAAAAAAGTTTTTTGGACGATTCAAAAGTGCTTGTAATAGCCTACTTGAATAAAGATATTTTCATTTCATTTCATTTCGAAATAGCTTGTTAACACGATAGCGTTATTGTTTAGTGGTCTGAAAATAAATAGAGACAATAACACCTCGTACTACGACTACTGTAAATATTTCACGTTATGATCAGTAACGCTTGGCCACATCATGAAGCAGTCATACGATCCGCTGCCCATATTATTAAACGCGAATTGTTCATTGAGCTGCTCAGGCCACACCAGCCCAGCAGCAAGTTTTTCCATTGCACGAAAAGGCCGGCCGCATTATGAATTGGTCTATCCTACGATCTGACCACGACATATATTTTTACGAGAATGTACCTACTCAATGAAACACGTATGCTATAAAAAATAGAATTTAATTTGACCCTCAACCTCTAAACGACAAAAATCTTAGTACAATCACAACATGAAAGAGTCGAATATAGCTAGGAGATCTATGTTTCGATTGATTATTTTTTATCATAAATACACGACTAAAGTTCAAAATAAAATAATGTGTAACAGAAAAAAACAAATAAGTGTTCAATAAATTTATTAAAAAAAAATATAAAACAAACAAAAAAAAAAACGCTCATCCATGCTTCCCAACGTTAAAGATCATAGTATAAACTAGTAAATAGTAGTGTTAACAAGTTTGTATACATAAAATATTATATATTTGTAGTAGTAGTAGTAATACATTAGGCTATTACAAAACGCCAAATTGCGGCAATCAATTTTTAACTTAAACATCGACACATGAAGGCTTTAATTCGATTGGATAAATTTGGCCTCCTGTAATAACCTGGTTTACTGTTAACCCTACATAAATAGAGAACTATAGTTAACAACTATTAAAACAGAAACACTTCAGCGTGCCTCTGTACTCTACACAGACTACTATAGAAAAATACTCATGAGATGTTTCACAATATAAAGCTTACTATTATGCTGCCAAATATAACAAAAATTTCGAAAAATATTTTAATAGAAATAGTTTACTCTATATAAAATACATCTTCTTTTATTCTAAGAGACCAATACAGTGCAAATGTTTGCATTATATTTTCAAATAGACAATTTATTTTCTTATATAACAATTTATTATATATTACTTTTCGAGTCTTAAATTATAATTATAACCTAATACTGAAAAAGTAACTTTTGAGATACGAAACATTTATACCAGCTAACAATAATATCAGGATATGTTAAAAATAGTTAAAAAAATAACATTAGCACGTTTTAATTTATTAATTATACACGCAACGAATCTATGGGAACTACATAATTATTGCAAGTAGTTGTAGTTGGCACAAATAGACAACGTGACGGCCACAAACGGGAGACCCAAACTGAAATCGCCAATTAAAAATAAATATTCTTAACACTACTCAAATCCTTTAAACTATTTATCTAAATAGTTTGGGACTCCGTTCAGCACCTTATTATAGTATATTAAAAATATATTACTCTATTGTGTTCAATCTATAATGTATATTAAAATATAGTATCTTTCTCGTAAATTATGGAAGAGTGCTTAAAAAGTATATTCTGTAAAGATAAACGAGTTATCGTAAAAACAACTAGCTAGTTTGTTTATATGCTAACTATAGAGACTAGAGAAACTAAAAAATATATTTTATATGTATTTTTATTAGACTAAGTGCTCTTCTATAATATTAGCTCACTCATAAACCGCGCGTCGGCCAGCGGTCACAATAACAAAAAACCACGGCATACAGTCTGTTGGCAATGTAGCATTTTTCGACTTAAAATTACATGAAAATTATCGAAATGACAATAGAACAGGTATTATAAATCATTGAATATTCAGCTTTATATCTACAGCGATAAATGTAAAAATTTAATTGACTTGTGCGTTTCACAATTCACCTAGTGTTTTTGTAAATTACACGATTTTCGCTGCTCCACTAAGAAATTAGAATACATATTTGCATGGATGCGTTGTGCTCATCTAGTATTTGTCTCCATTTCACAACTTTCGACTGGAATATATTCCGTAGGTAAGTGTAAGAATAAAACGCTGAGAAATAGGTGCTTGAAGTATTAAAATTGTACGAACAATTTATAATTTAGGTACTATTTTCCGCCAGAAGAATGTATGAATGTGACATAAAGGTCATATTCGACTCTGCAATATCTAGTATAAATTTGTGCAAACTTCCTGATTATTTAGTATCAGCAATATTTTAATTCAAAATTTCATTACTGATATTAGGAATTTTGTCAATAGAAAATACTTAATTTCTTTCGATTCACTGTAACTTTTTAAGACGAATTGATGCTACATATATTAGCACAACAGAACTGCAGTAAAGCGAACCACCGTTCGAATAAACTAAAATCGAGCCATCGCTTCTCTATGGTTACAAGCACACGCAATACATCATCAGATTCAAAAGCAAATTGATAAGTAATCGAGTGAAGATGAGCCTTAATGTGTTAACAATAAAATCGTATTTCGGATACAGATATTAATAAATATCAATGATTTCATTACTGTCAGTTCAAGGCTGCATATGAATCAGGAAATCTAAATTATTGACAATGCAGATATGATCACTTAACTTTAGGTGACTTGCTTGTCCCATGCCATAGAATTCCATTACAATATTTTGAAGGCATTAAGGGTAATTTTCACTCGACAATAACCGATTGCATTTATTTAATTGTAAAACGCGCACACATATTAATTAGTGAGCCGACGCAATCGAAAATCAACTTTAAAGCTAAAAATTAGTAACGGAATGCGACAAATTTGCCGTCCCTCCATGTGCAACTAAGCGAACAACGTTTTATTTATGCGTGTTTTTAGAACTAATACAATATTCTCGTTAATAAACGTCGAACGCGTCTACGGTTTCGATATTCGGAAGTCAATGTACAGCAGCCGCCTGAAATATAATAATAAAAATTTGTAATTGAATTTGTTTATGTTTTTGTACACACGTAAAACCTTAAGAAATCCCTAGATATTACATTATTTATAACTATTCATTGACCAGAATTGGCTTCTTGACAGTTTTGGGGGAAAATATTTTTAAACTTTTGTATCATCATATATAAGCCACTGTCACATTTATTTTTCTTTAAAGTCTTATTTAATTAAGGAAAATACATATTAATCACATGACATTTCGAGAAGTCGCATTTCAATAAACATGAGTACTGCCCTGCGATTCTGTAAAAATCATTCACATCATTTAGTGTAGAAATTCTATTGATTCTATTTTTCGTATAAACATACAAAGCAAAATTAATTGAATATACGTGTCGCAGATATTCTATTCCGATGTCATTATGAAACTCACTTCATTTATGCGACAAAACGTTCAACCAATTCAAGGTTGAGCGGATGCCGGATTTTTGGAGTGAATTCCGACACCTACACGCGTAGCATGACGAACTCGAGAGCGTTTTGTCTACACTCATTTGTCAGTTTCTCGGGTCAAGAGTGAGATATCGTATGGGCGCACTAGAGAAAAGTTTATCGGGTTTGTCATGCTACCCGTGTTGAGTGAATTCGAATACGGGCTTAAATTTTTAAAGAATTGCAGGGCTACTCTACAGGTTGCATCCGTAGCAGACCTTGACGTTTGGTTTTATTAAAATGTGACGTTGCACGATGGTCCGTGACCGTTCGCGTTTTGTTTCTTGTAATCCATATGATATAAATCGCATATTAAACGTTGCAAAATTAAAACATCAAATAAAAAATCTACATAGTTATTGTTTACATATTCAACATATTTTAAATTCAATTTTGTTGTCAAGTAGCCAATTATTGAAAGAAGTTTTTATCTTCGTATCATACAACGGAAAAAAAACACATATTTCTGTAGAGCCAAAGCTCATTTTAATGAAATCTCAATTACCCTAATATTAATGTTTTCCACGTTGAATAAAGATATCAATCAGGCACTTTATTGTTTTATTAATTATTGAGATTAATAATAAGTAGAAATTCTTTCATTGGTTGGGTGATGAAAACTTGTTAATGACAGTGACATTGTTCCTCAGTTATACCATAGGGAGCTGAACCTAAACTTGTATTAAGTGTTACAAACTAAACAACAAAGGTTCTGAGTTGGTCAGCATTTGCTGTTCGTAGTTGTTCCTAGGTTGTTTATTGTTATACCATAGGGAGATAACCTAAACTTGTATCAAGTGTTAGAACCCACCCCTGGTGGTGGTTTGATCAGTGTTTGTTGTTCGTCGTTTTTCTTAGGTTGTTTGTTGTTATTCCGTAGGGAGCTGAACCTAAACTCGCATCAAGTATAACATAACTCACCACTGGTTGTGGGTTGGTCAGCGTTTGTTGTCCATAGTTGTCCTCGGTTGTTTGTTGTTATACCGTAAGGAGCTGAACCTAAACTCGCATCAAGTATTAAACAACTCACCACTGGTTGTGGGTTGGTCAGCGTTTGTTGTTCGTCGTTGTTCCTCTGTTGTGCGTTGTTGTCACGCGGCGGTCGCGGCGGGGCCGGTTCCACACACAGTAACCTCGGCTTATCGTCGGCTGTCTCGTCGCCCGCCACCCCCCCACCGCTGCCACCTAGCGACATCTGCGCTAGAGCACTCAACACGCTGTCCATGCTCACTGTAGACGGCGCACTGTCACCTTCGCCCTGTGACACATTTATATAACACTAGATTTAGAAGACAACCTTTTTTTATATATTTTAATTTTATCGATGTAGGTAATGAAATATATCTAACATATATAGTTTCAAATCAAAAAAATAAATTTAATTTTCAAAATTTCCCGCGAAAACGCTAGCTTCTATCATGGCGTCGCTATGACGTCACGTCTCTGACGCCGCTCTAAAACTAATATCTTTATATACATAAGGTTTAGTCCTCCAAGTTCTGATAAGAGTTAGAGGGGCATGACATCACGAAATGTTTGCGTCACATGAAAACAAGTAAAAAATATTAGTCTTTTCATAATTAATTTAAGCAATATTATAAATATAATAAGCATAAAAGTGTGATTATCGGTGATAGTATATTAAACACTACCAAAAAAATATATATGTATTTATTTTCGTTTACTGTCTACAATTTTCTATTCCATTCTTACTTTCTGTCCGGTGTCTAAATACAACGTTTCATGTTTTTATCTTCAACGATTACAGAACTTTATAAAAATTTGCATCCCTTATTTCGACCCAATTTTTCGAGATAAAATCTATCTTATATCGCTATTCAGTTGCTATCGCTAAATTATGTGGTAGTATTTTAGTAGTAAAATACTACCACATAATTTATTTATAATTATTATTACCTTTTGCGGACCAGACTTGAAGAAGTGCAAGTAGCAGAATCCCCGGAAACCCTGTAAAAAGTAAAATTCTGTAAAAAATCTAAAAACGTTACTCCACTGTGGCTGTAAGAAAGTATCTGTTTGACTAGTGGAAAAGGAAATACTTGTTTAAAAAAGGTACCTAGCTCGAAACAACAGAACAAACAGTAAACACAAAATTGAGATTTACTATAATATTACTAGTGTCTACAATCAATATTACCTTCCATGTCATGATCTGAGGTTTGACTCCGCGCTCGTTCAATGCTTGCTTCAAATCACGGACACGTGTGTTGGGGCTTATGTTAGATATCTGAAACAAATCTCCATTAAATAAACAGATATTTCAATTTTGGATATGAAAACGCACAATTACCTTAAAAAGTTAAGATAATCCGCCATGGTGTGACGTCGTTCCGATAAATCAAATAGATGCCCATTTATAAACTATACTAGATGGCGCTGTTCTTAACTTATTCATGTCTTTTTATTTTGTAGTCAGATCGTTAGATGGCACTGTTATTGACCGATTGACACCTAATCAATTAAATACAATACATTATGCATCTGTTTTGTGTACATAATGACGTCTGGAATACCGTGGACAGCGTTTTTGCGGCATTGAAATGTTTAAATTTTGATGTAATTTGAAAGAAAAAAAAAAGTGTGTTACTTTTTCTAATACTTTTAAACGAGCAATTCTTGTATTGTCTATACTACTAATATTAAAAAGAGGAAACATTTATTTGTTTCTTTGCATCAAATAAACTTTGAAACTTCAGGACCCATTTTTAAAATTTATTTCACCCACGTGTAGCTATATCATAGGGGGTTGACATAGGCTATAAATAACGCGTCGCGAAGTCGCGAGAAGATAGCTATATATATAATTCGAATATCTGAAATTTAGTATTCAGGGAGTTTCAGGGGTGATAAATCAATCTAGCTATGATGCATTATATATATAAATACCAAAATATATATAAGTTCCAAATATTTGAAATAAGTAAGTAGTATTTCAAAAGGAGTAGTATACAGAATACCCTATTTTGTTTACCTTGACGGAGAAGTCTATAACCGGCCTCTGACGTTTAGGGCGTCGTGAACGTTGCTCGCCGTCCTTCCCTTCTTTCCCCGTCGATTTCTGACTGTTGCGGCGACGCGTGGATCGACGAGGTTTGCCAGTAGACTTGCCGTCTTCACCTTCTGTGGTATTGCCCTAATTTTTGCGAAACATTATATTAAAACTATTAATAATATATTAACTACAAAAATCAACGAATCTGTCCTTATTTCTATTATATTGGGGAAAAACCCCAATATAAAGGAAAAAAAAAATTTGCTTTTTGAACAAATTTAATTCTAATGATTTTTTACAATAAGCGATCAGAAACACGACTCTTAAATGGCTTTTAAATAAATATAAACTATTGGATTACTGTTACATTAAATTTGTGTGAAAAAACTTTCTTATAAGACTATTTGGTTCCTATGACACTGCAGTAAAACATAATCTTAATCTATTAATATGTAACATTCAGTGGCACTACATTTGTTTCATATAACCATTTGTTTTGGAACAGACTTCGGAGACATTAGAACAAGTTAGTTACATATAGTCACACGGTAAATATTTATTTTCATACTACTGACCTCTCCCTCACTCTGGCTCTTGTGCGAGCGAGTGCGACGACGCAATCTCCTAGGTCTTTGTGTAGTACGTTCCTCTACATCAGTGTCCACTTCTTGCAATGTACATGATCGACCAGCTCTATAAAATAGGATTAAAAGAATATAACGCTAATTTGTACTCAAGAAATGTAAGTAAATGCTAACTGATAATGATGTAAATGTAAATTGATATAAAGGTTAATGATATTTTCTTACAGCATTTCGATCTCGCGCAGTTGTCCCAGAATAGGCATTAGTTGTACGCGACGATTCGACAGCAAATGCCATAGAATCCCGACTGGTCGTTGGCTCATACGCTGTGTTTCTATCACCTAGTAAATTCAATAGTAAATCTAAATGTACAGTACTAATAACTGATGCAAATTTTTTAACAAAGTATGTTAAGAAGAGATGTCCTAAAATAGATGATTTGACAAAAATACAATGTACTTCTTTTCTTGTAACTGACAATGTTAGTTAAGTTATTTGACGTACGAAACAGATCATTTCTCTGTACTAGTAGCGCAACGCATCCAAAATGTTATCCATACAGTCGTAGTATCTTTGCCATTTTTGTTTATTTTAGGTCAGGAGTCGGCAACCTGCAGTTCCAAAATTACGTTTATAGAAAAAAACTAATAAAACCGTTACAACGTTTAATAAATTGATCCTATAGAGTATTATTATATTATGGACAAAGTAGTTTAATTTTATATAAACTGGAAAATATAATATGAATTATATTGAAACGGAATTTTAGTGATGTCAACCCCTGATGTCGGTAAATAGATCTGGTCCATGCAGACTCCATACATTTTAGGACCTCTCTTTTCCGTAAATAATAATATTAAAGACAAAGACAATTTTTAGTTTAAACAAATTTAAAATAAAACACTAGCGTAAGCACTGTGGTATCACTTCATAACATACCTGTGTTGGAGTGACTATTATATCGATGGGTACATCATGAGGGCCGAACAACTCAGCCGGTAGAGTTTCGAATACCTACAAAAAATGGATATACCTTACAAAGTATTCAATACAGGATTACACAGAAAGCCGGTACAAATATAAGTCACACGGTAATTATTCATACTACAGTATGAACGCACATGGGCGCGATGCTGTTTCGCTTCCTAAGGAGTAAGCGAGACGGCAATACAGTAGACTAAACGATATGTTGTGTAGGCACAACACTTAGCAAGTAATTTTCCAGTACTGAGTAACTTGTTTAGTAGTATCCATATAAGTGTATGTTATTTCTTTTTCTAAACAACAATATTATCTTCAAGGTCAACCACCAGTATATCATGCTGATGGGTCTGAGCTGTAATAGGTTTTAATCCTGTGTGATAAATGGAGAGAGCCGGTTTAGTAAAACCTCATGTCCTGCTTATTTTCAGCTATGGGGTTTTAGTCTTTCTTACCTGACAATCGTGAACAGTAGTAGCAACCAGTGTGTTTGGTTTTATCGCCTTCATGTGCATCATTAGGCCGAATTCCAAATCACCATAGCCTATAAAGTAGTAAAAAAAACACAATTTACAGATATAAAAATGGTTTACTAATAAAGTTCTTTATTGTAAAAAAAATTAAAGGGTGAGAATTTAAAACAGAGTAATAATGATTATTCGTTTGATTAGAATATCAATTTACAAACCTCTTCCTTTGCCAATACGATAGCCCTCTTTGGAGACAGCTACTGATCCCATAACAACCAAATCTAAGGTAACTGAATCTTCAATGCCTGTGAAAGAGAAGAGACAATGCGATATAACAGGGGTGTAACTGGGGGTGGGTTACAACTCGATGTAATTTCAAACTCACCAATAGGTTTCCCATAAGTTTCCATGCCATTGCGCGAGACCGCTTTCCTGATGGCAGCGGGACCGGTCTCGCCTTCGGGCAATTCTAATCTGTTAAGAAATCCATTCTGGAGACGCGGCACTGGCACGTATAGGGTCTTCTGTTGCTCCAAGCAGATCACTCTGAAAGGCGAATTCATAATATCTTAATTATTTAAGTTTATGCGTCAACACATTGCTAACTTATAAACTTGAACATTTCGAATTACAAGTTTTACGCCAGGTATACGACCCCGCCTGGTCCTTAGGGAACTATTTAGTAGAATAAAAAGTAGCCTATCTATTAATTCAGGCTTAGAATTACTCGCAGTAATATTTTCATGAAAGAGTAGAATATAATTTCAAATTTTACTCTTTACATTTTTATTATTTGTAAATTATAATATGCTTTCTAATCAAAGTTCCCACGGAAACATCAATAACAACGCCATCTAGATATTACAAGTCAAGTTCCTTCGCGACCCTTATTCGTATCACGACATAAATAAACAATGATTACTCGCTCGTTTACAATGTTATTATATCACCGGATGGCATTAGGTTATCGCGCAAGTTTAAAAATACATTTTATTAGAGCATTTAAAGGATTTCTTCTATATAAATACTATAATAAAATTGATTTAAACATACTGCAAAAATAAGGAAGCATATTTTGGTAATTATGCGTGCAAGACGGAAATATAATTACATTGTAGCTTATTTTATAAGATAGAGAGAGATTGAATACAGAATAGGCAAGTAAATCCCAAACTATGGGTCACGACCTACCAATATTGGGAACGAATTGAGTAGGCACTAATGGTCGATCAACCACTATATAAGACATATATAATGGTCTTTTATTCACAAAGACAGCTAAAAAGTGGGTCTCAAGATTGGAAAGTTTTGTTAGATGGGATGGCCGACAAAACATGGTGCAATCAGACTCAAGCGATGTTAAAAGTAAAAAATAGAGAAGAGAGGGAGCCCAATCAACTTTAGAAATCACAATAGAGAATGCTGACATTAACAATATTTGTTCATTTATTTATTTATTTTGCTAACGCTCAGTTGACGGCACTGTTTTATTATCGGTTGCTTTGTTACGATTCACGAGCTTTCTGATGACATTGTTAAATGAAATAATTTCCTTATTTGCGAGCCACTTAAATTCATTATGTAGTAAGTCAAATAAAAAGTCTATTGAAAATTACTTTCGGTTTTTACAATAAATCGTTGATACATGTAGCCTTGTAACAATTTCTTGAAAAGAAAATATCCGTATTTTTATTTCCTTTTAATAAACTGAACTACTCGCTCGGCCAGTAAGTAATCGAGAAGAACATCCAAATATCACGCTTTTCTCTTTTATCATTAGAATTTCGGGATGAAAATTATATCTTTTTATTTTTAATTAAATCATTTGGTAATGATTAAAACTAAAACTAATTAAAAGAGAAGGCAAGAAATTTTAACTTATTATATAATAGTGACATAAACAATCGACAAATAGTTATACTTTAACTGTGTTTACTTTTTAAACAACTTGTACGTAAAGAAGTTATAAAAACGAGGTGGAATGTATTGCATTACCCAAGGTATCGGTCGGGTGCTTGCATAACTGAAATCGTTGTTGCATGATATATTTACTGAATCCGCTTTACAATTTCAGTCTTTCGACTCGGATTCATAGCATTAGAAAGTTGATGATTACATTTTTCTATCTTCTTGAATTTTATACCAATTTAATTGTGAATAAATTAATAACGTAAAGACTGTTCGAAATACTGAAACTTTAATTTCTTATTAAATGTTTTGTTCTCCACGTTTTTGGTTTGCATAATACGCGACTACTTACCAAAAATTTTCGTAAGAAGGTCGTTACGTCAACACTTATTAAAATCCAAGAATCTGCTTTTAATGAAGATCTTTGCAGCTCTGAGCTCCAATCAATAAAAATGATTTTGGTGATATCTCATGATGCCATCCTATGTCATTGGAAGTCAATATAATTCAACCTATTTTACTGTATTAAATAAGTTAATCTGGATTTTCAATTTTTAGATTAAACTTTATGACAAAAACAACTTTTAATACTTATTGGTCAATGAGTCAAAATGAAAATGAGCCACAAACAACATATGCGGCTTCGTATCGACAAATGTAATTAAGTGATTAATTAAAAAAGATATTAATACTACTAACTAAATACTAACATAATATTAGACAAGGCAGTGAAACTGTTCGTGTTAGTATTCTCCTAATATGAGTTTATCTATTCTTATATTATAAAGAGAAAAGGTTTGTTTGTTTGCATCGAACAAGCTCCGAAACTATTGGACGGATTTTTAAAATTCTTTCACCTACGGGAAGCTACATCATCCTTTTATCCCGAAAAAAACAGTAAATAAAGGGAAGAAAATGAGACTGGATAGAGAATGAAAACGTTACCATAGTAACCATTGTTTACTATTAACTATGTTTGTCATTGAAATTATATCCATGTCATGATATGAAACTTTATCCAAATGAATTACTAAATTAAATTCTATGCTTGGATTAAAATAGTGACTACCTTTTAATGCCACTGAACAGTTCCCTAGGGCACACGCGGGCGAAGCCACTGGCGAAAAGTTTATTAAAAAAAAGTACTACAGCATAGAATTAATATATAGAATGCACCAAATATAAAGAGTTTATAATTTCATATTACTACCGCCGAGCTAACTAACACATATTCTGCTAGGGTGCCGAAAAAACCTCGACTCTCGCTATCATGTAATCAGACATCAAGCGATGTTAACGGAAGGAAGAGGGCAATGTACGCATACGGCTCAAATCCTCACGCAAAGTTAAACTAACATAATAGAAAAGTTATTAAATAGAAAATTTAAACATTAATGACTTTCTGATAATAAGTTATATGGAATCATCATGTCATACAAAGACTCATTCAAACGCGACATATCGCTCCATTTTTGCTTTTACTATTAAATCCACACCACTCTTCAGAATATTTGATTTTAATTTATCAGTCACATGCAGTAATATATAGGGTTACAAACACTACCAAGAACTCGCAGAACTAGATAGCCAAAAACATAAAAAAAAAACTTAAATTCTACCAGTTTTGATTTTCCTTTGATACAAAAATGTAATTTTAATTTACCGCTTGAATGTTAACAATTGGCAGCTTGATACTTATAACGATTGAAAATGAAATGTGATGGAAATGGTACATAACTTAATATTAAATAATTAAATTATTATTATTATAAACGTAGACGGCCATGATGGAGCACCGTAAGACGACACATTTCAATAAACTAAATGTCTTTCTTGCGAGTGGAGGGCAACAGGAAACATGTTTATTGAAATGCGACGTCACGTAACTGATTGTTTTCACTGGACAATTTGAATGAATGAACAAAAATATGATTTTCATTTAACTGATAACGCTCTTTGAAGAAAAATAAATCCGGTAGTGGTTTCCCAAAACAGTCAAATAGCCAATTCTATGAGCAACGCCAATATAAGTATAGGTAATTCCCATTATCATCCTACAAATTATATTATTAATAGAACAGTATAATTAAAACATTAAAAAATCGTTATAGTTCAAAAGTATTGAGTTATATTAGAACTCGTAGATCATATTTTGTTGTCTATCATGTTAGATGTCTAATCCTGCAAGATTGCTGGAGATTTACAAGTAACCCTGTATATCTTTTAAGTAGTCACCTAGACTGATGATTTTAAGAGTGAGGAAAAGAGTGTATTCAGCGTCCTTAGCAAATAATATTATTTTATTGCGCGAAACAGTCTCATTAAATGAAAAATATGACATTAGAATTCTGACGATTCGGCGCAAACTGTGTTCGAAGTTTTCATATAAATAATTCTAGATATTTTCGTAGTTGTTGATACAATATAGTGATATAAAAGCCAAAAGAAAACATAAAAATGAGGTTAATAAGAGGTACAGACCTAACAGGTTCCTGTGGTTTATCTGGGTTCACTTTAACTGTATTGGCGTTCTTAAAAACTTCTAGTTCTGCTAACTTAGCGGCCGCTTCGGGAGCCCCTTTGAAATTTGGGATACGATTGTAGACAGGACGCGGGAACATAGCCAAACCGTTTGACTCGAGGTGACGCCATACTTTGAGCCGAAAAGACTGCTTGGTCACTTCTTCGGGCACTGGTTTCTTAGCTGAAACAAAATGAAATTGATTAAAAAAGTATATGCATAAGTATATTTGATTGTAAGTCGTAGGAGGGTAAGTGCTCTGGTGACTCAGCTACGGCTTCCCGGGTCTCTTCTCACGAGAGGGTGCACTGTACTGGTTTTGGTGAGTAGACCTAATGAGACCCACTGAGCAGCTCACTGCCATGTGGGTTCCCGGAGGACAGACCCACATACTCCCCTGTTGCTTACCAGGTAACAGGGGTAATGCCTAAGACATTTCCTAGACGATAAAAAGGGCTTGTAAGTCTTTGCAACGTGTAAGTTTCTTTTTTATGAAAATCCATCTACTATTAAAAACACACAGAATTAGGTAGTCGACGTGTTTTATAAAATTTTAAGTGTATATTTGATAAACTATACATTATTTATATAAGATGTTTGTCTTATCCGAAATTACTTTAATAAAATCTTTCAAAGTAGGTAAACAGTTTTTATGTAGATCGAAAGGCAACGACAAAAACTCTACTCTCAATTTCCGCGTTGGAAATTCATTTTGTCAGTTCTAATAACTCATTCAATTTACCAGTCATCTACCTTTTGAATCTTATGTTGGCATATCTCCAAGCTAATGTCTGTACCGCTGACAAATGCAATATAAATGAGAATTCGATTATAAGAATCGTTGCAATTCAAATACCTACTAGGATTCTGGAATCAGTCGAATCACCATATTTACACCAAACCATCACTGACTTATAAAAAAAGACGATTGGAATGACGATCATCGGCCGTTTGTACAAGAACTGGGGGCGTACTCTCAAAACATTCTTTACATCATGAACTGTTTCATTGTCTATCAACAAACTTGCTAATTTTAAAGGTAGAACAAGACGATGAAATTAATTAAAAAAATACCAATCAGTTATCTACTTATTTAAAAAAATATGGTTTAAAGTAAATAAAATAGTAGGTACTGTATAAAATTTAATATTTATACCATACTTTAGATGTATATTATTAATTTACCATATAATACAGACTACTTATTCCTAAAGATTTGGGTTGGACCAATATAACGATTTTTTGATGAATGTAATTAAAATAAAAAACCTCTAACCGTCTTCATATTATGGCAAGCCACAGGCCCATGGGCCTAATTGTCTAATTTTAGGAAATGTCGCAATCCCTTTCAACTTTTGTGATAACGGCGACTTGCGACTGTTCTTGAGTAAATTGAAACCTGATATTAACAGATTTATTAAACAGCATCAGATTCATCCTTCACATTAGTTTTTATATAAGAATAAATTACGTTTGTTTTATTTTGAATAAAAGATACTCTGTTTGAATATTATAAAGGTGCGTTTCAATAATCAATTTTATTGACAGGCGTAGCCTGTAAGAGTTAACTTGAGACCAGAGCGCCGTTGTGTATTTACCTACTGCGTTAACTCTTGCAAAGGGTTTAAGAGAAGTCTATTGTTTTATCGAACAATAATGTTCGAAATTCAAATTTATGTTTTTTTTTAATGTATGTAAACAGCCAGTAACAGAATTTATGGCTAGACTAGGTATAGCTTGCAATAATGAATTTGTTTGATTTGAAATTATAGTGGTTTATAAGTAGGTGAAAATATGGGGGCGCTAAAACCCTGGAAACCCTGATCTAGACAGAATAAACTTGAATATATTTCAAACAACAATACGTAAATTACAAGTTTCAGAAAAAAAAAACACTATCAAGAGACATCTAGCATAAACAATAATAATTAGTACTAAGTCTCATTGCATTAATATTCTGTTACAATTTATGATGATATCTACTGGCGATAAGCACGCGATTCACGTATACAATTACGAATGACAAAATGGCGTAGCCATAAACAGACAATGATTGAATTGAAGAATAATAGATAACATTAAATAAAATAAATTAAAATTTGAAGTCAGGAACTACCTGATAACAAGGATATCATGGTCATTGTCTTTAATTACTGAGTGTTAAAACAAAAGATAAAACGAGAAGAAATCAACGCCCCGTACTCTGAGATGGTTAGGGACAGATGACAGAATGGAGGAGTGGATCCGCAATGAATTACGATTAAAAAAAACTACGAAACAGATTTTAATGAAATTCTAATTGAACCTACTTTTAATCCCACTAGACCACGAGGGCGAAGCCACTAGGGGAAATTTAGTTTGATTATATATTGAAATTAATGTATAAGTATATAATTTTGTTGTACGAACATCTGATATAATATGATACCAAATATAAAGAGAATTCAGGGTGATGAATTACTATTTAATAGTGTGATAGCACCTGTGCATACAGACGATTAACAATGTTACATAATTATGGTAACAATTCTGTTGTAATACATTAGACTTTTAATGTAATCATATCAATTTGTCTTTTTAATTCTGTTAACAACTAATATGAGCAAAGTTAAAATATTATATTAATAGTATACAGGAATTTAATTATAACTATATTTGTTAAAACATTTGACAACAGAATAACTTTATTTGAAATCAAAGGTGCAACAGAATTATTGGTGTAAGTTAAAGATACCTCAAATAAGCCACAGTCATAGAAAATGTGTGTATGATTATAGCTTTTATGAAAGGTACATGCATATGCAGTTTAGGGAAATTTTTATTTCTATGTTTTACAACTTCCATTGCGAAGTGGCTTATGCACTTGTTTCAAGATGTCACCTTTCAGAGAAAATATCCTCGAGTCTGTGTTATTTGAGCTTGCCATAATAAAAGTGCTTAATTTTGATTCCAAGATTTTTTCTAATTTTTAATGGTTATTTAAATATTAATATTGCATAATTAGCTGTGCATAATAATATTATGAGAATACTGAGTGAGTTTCTGTGATTTTCTCAAGTGATTTTCTGGATCATTACAAACAGCAATTTAATTTTAGAACATTATTTAATGTACATTTGAAAACATACACAGATGTCATTTGATTTTTTCTCTTTTTTCATCAGAGAATAGGTTTACTGTCATAGAGAATTCTTTATAATATCTTAAACAATGTGGTGGTGCAAAAGACAAATTACTACAAAAGATAGTTTTTGATAAAATTAATGACTGCTATTATACTATAGTCTTAATATCAAGATATATTAAGCTCAACATAAAGATATATTCATATAATTAAGGTACTTAAGTTTTAGTGTTTTTTATACATATTAATGTAACAAAATATAAATGTACATATCATAATGCCATTTCGCAATATGGAACCAGTATGCAGAGCATGAGAAACTAAAAAAATTGCATTATCCACACCAAACATTACTTTTTTCCGATTAGTGAGATGATTCAAGGGCTCACCCGAGGAATGACATAAGTGTGAAGAAAATTTTCCCAAGTTTGTCATGCATGGAAAAAATAGCTAACTCATTTCTATTAAGTGCAATCTCTATAGATCAGAAGATCAGAGTTATATCATGAGCCGAACTGCAGTAGGGATGTAAAAGGGCTCATGATAATGATTATAATGACTACTGTATCTTTAGGCCATATCTCTTGCAGAGTAAGCAGAGGGACACATAGCATTAAAAAATATGTATATTTATTCATTCTAATAACAAAAAAATATTTTATTATAACAGTTATAATAAAAGGAGTGGTAGTATATAACTATCTTTAAGTAAAAAAAATTAATACATGTTACAGTGATGAGGTAACTAAACCTTGAAGCCTTTCATTTTAATGATTCAGAAAGCAAATAGAAAAATATAATTTGACCATTTAAATGGATTTTTTCAAAGATTTGAAGGTAGTTGTAAAAATAATTCTAGATGTAAAACTTGAAGTGAATTTATCAGATATATTGCTTAACAAAACTTATCATTCATTGCACAATAAATCAACATTTTTATAAAAGAAGTGGGCAGAACATAAGAATGTGACTCACGTTTCACACTCCAATTAAGCTACCCACAGCATCAATAATTGTGAGCCGAGAAACAACCCAAATAGTCGTAATACAATGCACGAAACATCGAATGCAAGTGAAACTGGCATTTTAAAAAGCAATAATCAAATTCCTATAAGAATTAAAACGATCAAGTCATTCACCTTATGTAAAGAGGGTATACAAAAAAAACATTAATTTTCAAGTAAATTCATTGTATTTTAACATTTAATGCACCCCGAAACAGAGATTTCATCCATTTTAGGAAAGAAAACAGTGGAACAATGATTGTTTTTATAATAATTTTGACAACAAAAAATAACACTTACTTTCCGTAGCCGTCGCACTTTCCTCTCCGTTCTGCATTTTGGAATTATAAACTTCGTAATCAGGAGTTTCTATAGAATATTTCAACGATCTAAAAGAAAATCATCAATTTATTTGGAAAATATAAACCTTCGCCGGACGGCACCGTCACACACAAAAATAGAACGCGAATATTAAAAAAAACAAACGCATCAATCAGTGTGACCAGCTTAGAAATAGCAAAACTGCCAAAAATCAGATAGAATAGGATTTAGACAAAGTCTGAAACTCTCCGATCTTATATGTTTTTTTTAAGTAAAATAAAGACGAGAATGAAACGTTGATCTCGTTTGTTCAAAAATAACACACGTTCTAGAATTATTTTATAACAAATAATATTGTAGCTATTGATATGATAGGGTACCGGGTATAGTATTATACGGTAACTTAACCATACCGATTTTTTTTTATTAATTTACCATTTCATTAGCAGCCTTTTGTGTAAATTATATTATAAAAGATTTTGCGTAAACACCGATTATTGTTTTGGAAAACTGTTTGTCGAAAACCACTCAGGGTCGCGAGCCCCAACCAATAATGCTGCTGCATAAATTAAATGTTTTGTAGTAGTAGTAATTCATAATATAAGTTGTTAAAATGGGGTTACGTACAGCCTCAACGAACATCTAAACATACAGGAAAACACCAAACCTGCTATTTTATAATATTTTTGTTTTAAAATAACATATTCGATTGCAATAGTTTTACAAAAATAACCATCCGGATGTATAGCGATAGCGGCGCGAAACTGTCTAAACGTCAAAGTCAAATCGACAGTGACAGCTAACAGACAGTTAGGAATACCCGTAGTGAAATCGACAATTAGTACTACCAGTAGTAGATAATATTTTCCCCTCTAACAAAAACTATTACAGTAGGATCTCGATTATCCGGATTAACTCAATAAAGGAGGTTCTCAATTTGACCTGTATGAAATGAACATGAAATGAAATGAAAATGTTTTATTCAACTAAGCTTGTTACAAGCACTTTTGAATCGTCCAAAAATATTTTTTCCCCTACCACTTGTTCCGGACGTCTTTTAGCTGACAAGAAGAACAAGCGAAAGAAACTTATCAGCTTTTTATCATAAGTAATGACATTTACATAAATCATGTCATTACCAAAATAATACATATATTGAACAATAATAAATACAAGTTTTAAAGTCTGTAGGACATAGGTTGGTACATACTTTTATTTAATCGTTATAGAACAGAGCGAAGGCTTTTAATTCCATGCATTGCGGTCCTTAAAATAATCATCAACTTTATAATAGCCTTTACTCATAAGTATGTTCTTTACATGAATTTGAAATTTATTTATGGGTATGTATGTATGTTTGTGCGCGATTATCTTGCGTTTGGCTGAACCGATTTTGACGCGGTTTTCAGAAAAATATTTTTTGTGTTACCTATTATTTAAAAAAATACCAATATCACTAAAAAGCTTAAAATAATAACTTAAAAAAAGAACAGACTTCAAACTTTAAAAAAAATGTGATAAATAATGCCTATTTCAAAAGAGACTCAAGAAAATACATTTAATTATTAACCTACACAAAACCTTCTTTCGAATTTAATAGCATTTTCTTGAATAAATCGCTTTCGAGATAAATATGAATTTTCATCTTTTAAGCTTGAAGTCGGTTCTATTTTTTTAAAGAATATCATAAAGAAAAACTCGTAAATTTCTTGTTTTTTTTTTAATATATAATGTAAAAGAGCAATTAAAGCAGTGAGTGTAAATAACTATCATGGAGTGATCAAACAAAACATTTTACAACAGATTCCGTACCATTGTACCAGGTACGTACCAGGGTTTCGCCCTCCTTGCGTAATCCGACTAGCATGGCCGATTTTTATTTATGATGATAGACGGGTTCATTTATAATCATTTGTTAAACAATTTTAACAATATAATTTTAATTTGTGACTTTACAGTCTTAAATTAGCCCTCTTCAAAACTCAAATTTCGACTAGATGTAACAAATAATGGAATAAAAGCCTGTATGTTAAATTGGCAAGATATTTATTTATTGAGCGCACAGGTTTAGCGGATAAAAACAAAATTTTGGATTAATATTGTTTTATATTTAACAGACACATTATCGTATAGTTTGGGACATGTGTAGCGGTGTTAACATCAATTCAAATGCCGCGTCTTTTAAATTTGCGCCACGTAAATTTGCTTCATGTAAATCGCTGCCCGAAAGGTCGCAACACTGCAACACATCAAAAAATAATATTAAATTTAAAATAAATTGATACATAACCCCTATTTTTTTCTTCAATTCCAATTTTGATTATGGTTTTTATGCTGTGTATTCGAAAATAATTAAAGTTCTTAAGAACCGTTTATTATATATTCAATCGATTCATATCATGACATGGATATAATTACAATGACAAATTGAATAGTAAACAATGGTAACTATGGTAATGTTTTGATTCCCTATAAAAAATGTCACTCTCATTTTCATCCCTTTATTTGCTGTTTATAAATTATAACCTATCCATAATGATGTAGCTTCCTGAAGGTAATATTTTAAAATCGGTACAGCAGGCCAATTCTGCTAATGTTTACGTTATAATCGCATCTCGATAGAATCTCAACGACTTGCATTTTACCATTGTACTATCTACATAAAGTTCAATGTTATTAGTTCAATGTCTTCCTCACACATCGATTGAGTCAGATATATAATATTATCGGAGTTCAGGTAGATAGTACAAGGGCAAAATGCGAGTAGTTGACATCCTATTGACACGCTATTATTACGTAAACGTTAGCAGAATTGGCCTACAGTAGGTTCGGAGCCAATTTGTTGCAAACAAACAATCAAATTCCTCTTTATAATATTAGTAGATTACCTCCAAATCTGCCCCAGCCAGCACAGCAGCTCTTAAATCACAATTTTGAAGATTGGCATTTTTTAGGGTTGCCACTCTTAAGTTCACAGCTCCCATGTTACTCCCCTCCAAGTTGGCACCTGTAGTTATTTTAAATGTCAATGACACAAAGATAATTTACGTTATTCGTAATTTAGGTTAGGTATAAATTGAAATGTACAGTCAACACTACGTCAGACTATACAAAACTGTCATATTTTTCCACTTGATTTGAGATCTTAATGCATTTCTGGTAGATTTCCAAATCAATTAAGGAAATTTGACATATTGTGGTATCCCGACGTGCAGCCGTGTGTATATTAGGTCAGTAGACGTTTCAGTAATATTATTGTTTGTTTAATTATCCTTGTACTTTTTATTTTTTCTTTGTATTGCCCTGTGTTTTCGGATTTTCGAAAAACACAGGGCAATATAATAGTTTAATCTTTCATATTTCTGTACCTTTTAGATTGACTCCTTCCATTATAGCTCGACATCCAGCTGGATCTTCCATATTGCAACCTTTCAAATTTGCTCCTGAAAAATTGTAATATGTTTAATTTGTCTGTGTGATTTATAAATTATTAAATTTTTATATTTGCAACAACAGATATCACTATCAAAAGTATAGAACACGCTATGGTTTCGTTTGTCAAATTTTTATATGTCGCAGCCAAGCAAATGGCGCCATTCAATTAACAGGCTCAAACAAAGGTCAGCCAATTATACAAAGACAAGATATACCGCGATTCAGACGGCCACAGAGCCATCTATCGGAAGCAGAGTGAGCAATGTATTTAACTATGATTATTTTAGTATTTTTATTACGATTACGAATTTTGGTGCTAAAATATTTAATGATAAACAGTGAAGTTATATTGGTCCTGTAGGTCACGAATACGCGTAGTGATCGTCTTAAATTTGTAGGTTATTTTTTTAGCAGATAACATAACTAAATAAACATTTTGGCGGCATTCTAATCAGCCGGCTTGTTGACCGGTCCAAATATTATAATGATTAAACTAGAAAACTAGGTGTGCAATTGAATAGAGCCATCCAATTAAATGGCTAGCCGCCCAATTGAATAGAATAACAATAGCAAAACAGTTAGCTGTGACAGACTCAAAGAAAAGCAGCTAGAATCCTCTTATTATGTCAGTATTTAGAGAAAAGACGCTATTAAAAATTGATATTGTATATACTTAAAGAACAATGCTTATAAAATCCATTTTGTCCCTGGTACTCTGAGATGGGAAGCATTTTTCATTAAGAATATTTTTCAGTATAGGATTATGAATGCAAAATTGATCAAATTATATTAATATTGTATATTGACCCAACCAGGCATTCAAGCCTCAGAGATGTAAAATTTTATGTATATGTATGTATGTATAAAATAATAACTTTAAACTAATAATAGTTTATCAGATAATTCAAATATAAAAGCATTGGGATTTTTTTTATTATTATATTAGATAATATAGAAAGTTTGTGTCATCTAAAATTTTGTTTTTTATTGATAGAAAGCCTAGAGGCTGATTGCAGATAGAGATAAGATTAAGTCACTTTCCAATAAGACTTCTCTGCATGAATTAAGACAGGGAGAAAAGGGAGCTGTAATATTTGCAAACCGATGGCGTGGTTTTCGTCATACACAAGTATTTGTAACAGCCTAGACTGAATAAATGATATTGAATTGGAATTTGAGAGGGAAAGAATTATTTTATTGAACTAATCAAAACATACCTTCCATATTAGCACATAAAGCTTTGACTCCAAGCAACTGTGCTCCTTCAAGATTAGCATGAGATAAATCAGCTCGTTCTAGACAGCAATGAGATAGGTTTGCTCCACTAAGGTTACACCGAGACAAGCAAGCATACTAGAAAAAAAAAAAAACATTAATTGTCGATCAGTTTTATTTAAATATGGTTAAAATGTATAAAAATGCTACTTGGATGAATAGCATGTTTTAGCAAATTTCAATAGAAAAAATCATTTGAGTTTATAATAGAATGGGTAACAGAAGTTAATTCCAAAAATTGATGTTATAGATATAACTCAAATAGATTAATGATTGATTCTGCTTTTGAGATTCATTCAACATTTTTTGGTTACAAAGAAATAAGCATCTTTTGAATAAGTGTATGACAAGAGCACCTTAAAATTAATGTATCTTAGATCCAATCTATTCAAATCAGCTCCAGCTAAGTTTACTCCTTGGAATCTTAGTTCTGAATTTGTTGGAGTCATTATTACTGAACGAACTACATCCATGCGAGTTAAGGCTTGATTATTGCCTGAACAACTCTTTGCTTGTTCCAAAAGTTGGTGGAGATGTGGTATCATGGAGTCTATACCTATAAACAAAACAAATGTATATGTATACATTTGAATATTTCTCTATATTTTTTTTATTACAAATTATTGGTGATTTTATTTTAAGAATGTCAAGTAGTATATTCAAATATCAACTATAATATTGAATAGAATTCAACTTACCATAGAATACAGCTTCTTCTAACACACCCTTTGGGTTAACATTCTTATCAAGTATAACATCACCATGTCTTAAATAGTTAAGAATAGGTTCAAAATATATAGGACTTCTGTCTATTAAGTATGCTCCAGATAAATCTGTCGCACTGGGGTTCATCAAGTAAGTATTGTTGTCTTCAGCAAACATTCTAGCCAACATTGATAAAGGTTCCTTAGCCACTAGTGTAGAACGAGTTGTAGTGAAGTGTTTTCCTCCAACATTGAGCGTTATCCAATCAGATACAGTTTTACTTTTATCTATCGGGTTGTCATCAACAACTTTCAATTTCTCGATAGATTTACTAATCATATCACAGTCCTTAGTACTTTCTATGCCATCTAAACTAAGGTAAACTTCCTCGTTATCTCTTAACACTCTCACGTCATTTATTTCACATCCATTTGAGAAAAATAGCTTAACATTTTCCTCTGTTATGTTGAAAAGAGCAGATACTAAAGATTTGAAAGTTTTAATCGAATTTTCCACAACCATAAGCTTGCCATCATTTTTATTTATGTTTTTGTATACATGAACACGTATCATTACGCCTGTTTGTTTTCGTATAAATAATATTTTGATATGAATAAACTTTGAGATCGACAGCTAAATCAAAATGCAGAAAGTGAGACGACTGACAATGACATTAGGTGTTGCCATCTCGATACGTGTCGATATGTGAGGCACAGATTAGTAATATGTAGCAGTACTAGATGACATCATTTTAAGACACCACATTTGACAATTATTAGTCTTAACTTCAAACTAACTTTGTAATACGTGTACATATTATTATTAATTTCATAAAAGTTTAATTGAATAAATAACGGTATACATTGCAATATACAATTGCTTATTTTTTTATTATTAAAATATATTTATAGTTTTACTTTGATTAATAAACCTTCCAAAATGTAATAAATAAATTTTATTCCAAATATACTAAACGCCGCTACAAAGTTTTACGTTGTCTTTTTAAACACCGGGAAGGTTTTTAAAAAATCGAAAAAAATGCATGATCTACTCGGAAGCTGATTTTATAATTACTTATAAAGGCATAAACGTATAACATTGGCGATTTAATTACTATCAGTTGGGCTCGCGAAACTCTTGGAGAGAAATTTAAAGAAATTGGAATATTCGTCAATATTGGGAGTTGCATTTCAATTATATATAATTGTATACTTCTTGTCCGGAACAATATTAACGTGTATATAAAGCATAGTGATGTACACAAACCTTCCTTCTTACAGGTTACAGAAGATATTAGGTTCTTTCATGGGTCAAGGTATACAGTACTTTAACTAGATCCCCAGAGATGTATTAGATTTTCCAATAAACATTTTAAAAGTCGTATTAAAAATTGGCTACAAAGTATATTAAAAATCATAAAGGATATTATACCGTTAAAGAATATCTAAATGAAAAAAAGGCATGGTGTTAGATATTTTAACTTAATTTCTGTGGTGGTGTCGTGTGTATCATTACGTTCCCTAAAATATGGTTGAGCGAAGCATGAGTCATGCTCGTGAACGGGTGCTGCCAGTGGAAATGAGGCCGCTCTGGTCTACTTAACTTCGCCTATTTTCTTTTTGAATGAATATTGTATATTGATTTGTTAAAGATTTTAATAAGACTTTTCTGTGTGAAATACAAAAGGGAGAAAAAAAGTTTTTTGCCGGTTCTTCTCAATACAAGTATTCCCGCCGTAGTTTTTCGAACCGATGGCGTAGTTTTCAACTTTCACATATGCTCTGTAAAAGCCTAAACTGAATAAACAATTTTGATTTTGACTAAAATATTATTTAAATGACATTAAAATTATAAACTTACAAAAAACATTTAGTCCTTATATAGCACTGTGAAATCAAAAGTGAAAATATATAGAAATAAAAAATCCAATAAAAAATATCTTATCAAATCTCATAACCAAATATTAGGTATATACAATTGACTTTATGTTAAAAGTTCCTGGTTACACTTTAGAAGGCGCGTACGCCAAAGGTAATTTTCAACTGATTTTGTGCCAAGAAATAACGTCGAAATAAATAATAATAAAATGACATCATATTTAAAGTTAGGGGCGGAATACATCTGCCCTTTTGGAATTTTAAGATGATCACTGAGTTTTGGTAATTTTAAGAGTCAAACCACTCTCGTGTAAAATATTGTGGCTAAGACTGGGTCTTCTGGTTCACCCCAAAAATTCACATTTTTTTCTATTGTATTATAATAAACCTGCATTTAATATCCTTTTTATAGGGGATATTGATAAATATCGTACTTAAGTAACTTTGTAGCTGATATAATTATGTAACAGTTAAAAATAATCATAATAAGTAGTTTGCGAGTAACCAATTTTTGACGCAATGAGGAGGAAGTATTTAAAAAAAAAATCACTAAAAAAGCACCCCCCCTAGATGGCGACTCTAGCAAAAGTTGATTTTTGCACGAAACGAATGGACCAAAGATAGTCATTTCCGTCCCTTTTAACCAACATATTTAAAAACTGAAATTTGCAAAGTTCGAAACTTAGATATCAAAACAAATACGAAAAAGTACAAATATAATACCTATGTGATGTTTATTGAGTTTTGGTAAACTAATTTACTTTTATACATGAAAGAAAACCGTAAGGGTCATGGAAAAATCAAGAAAACAACGTAGCGAAATCTAGTTTGATTTCAGGAACTAATGTGTTTTTTTTTAAACTTCCTAATTGACATACAAAATGACTGAGTATCATTCCATATTTGTTATTTTTTCTGTTGTTCTTGTTAGAATATTGAAATGAGACATACTTTTATAGTAAATCAAGTGAATTAATTTAATACTGACTGATATTATATTTGTGCAATAACTGCAATCGATTTACATTTATTTAAAAACGATGTCGATTCCTTAAATTAATTGAATATTTTAAGCAGGGCACCCCGCAATCAATTTTACATTGATAGATGTCAAATGTGGCTTCTTATAATGACTCAACTGTAACACCGGAACAAGTCCATACTGAAAAAAATAAATAAAAAAAAACTGTATGTGTTGCAAAAACGCAATAAGATCGTTTAAGAATTCTTTGAATAAAAATATTAATAAAAAAATCAGGCCAAGTACAAGTCGTATTCACGCATGAAAGGTTCCCTACCGGAATCCGGCAAAAAAAAAAACGTTTTTGTTTGTATTGTACCTACCCCTTAAAATATTTATTCTATTCTGTTTTTGTTATTTGTTGTTATTGCGGTAATAGAAATACATCATCTGTGAAAATTTCAACTGTCTAACTATGACGGTTCACGAGTCCGTTCGTCTATCACCAGGCTGGTGATAGACGAACGGACGGAGAGCGGCGTCTTAGTATAAAAGGTTTACCCTTTGGGTACGGAACCCTTAAAAATTAGATTACTACGTTCATTTATCTATTCTAAATTGAAATAAATAATTAAAATTATTATTATTTTTATAAAAATTGTGAATATATAATAGACAAGAAGTGTAACAGAGTGGAGAATGTTAGTTTTCTCCTTTTTTGAAGTCAGTTAAAAAGATCCATCAGTGTTAATTTACTAACGAATACAAAACAAGAAAAATAATGTTTTAATCTTGATTTGGTTCTTGTTTTATTCTAGGAAGCTATTAATCCAATGCAAATAATAAACATTACTGACTAGTCATAGCTAAGTTTATATCTACCGATGAAAGCCTTATAGGTTTTTGTAAGGCTACGGGAATTTACCTTTTCGCATTGAAAAATAATATAATTGTTAAAAGAAACCGCATAAAAAATCATTCAGTAGCATTGAATTTTTTTAAGTAATTACGAGTACTAAAAATCTTCATAAATGTTATTTACGAAAATGATGTTATTTATGAAAATGATGCTAGGATTTTTTTCTTTGAAGTTGATTAAAACCTATATAGTTACACAATTCCGATATTCTATTTCTGGTTATCAGATCCAATTTAATTTGCCATGAAACCAAGTAAGAGCCGATTAGGGTATCGATAAGTTATTGTTTCCCAAACAAAATAGAAGTAGGTATCTATATAAAATACAGGTCTATTATCCTTTAGGACTTGTGCTAAGAATTATTACTGGGGCTTTATCCATAAATTATGCTTGGCTGGTTCGAAAGCTATCTCCTGGCGCCTAAGGCGGGATTGCCTTGGGTATGGCTTAGCTAATTGTATAAAATTCAAACTATGTTCTATACTACCGATGAATTAACAATGCATTTTGACTTTTCTGAATTGAAATATAAATAAGTTAGTCTACGAAACGAGAGTGCTTCTTAACATGGCGTGTGTTTGTAGGTGTATAAAATATAACTATGTACGGACATATTTGTGAAACATGAAAAATCATATATATATATAATTCTTTTTTAGGGTTCCGTAGTAAACAAAGAACCCGTATAGTTTCACCATGTCCGTCTGTCCGTCCATCCGTCCATTCGCTCATTCGCGGTTTAGCTCAAAAACTATTGGTAAGTACTTCACAGTTGTAATTTAGCATAAGTATACACGTTAATTACGCCGACAATGTGGTAAAGTAAATTCATAAAAAACAAAAAATTAGGGTGTGTATAATAGGGTATTTGACACTATCGAAAATAAGTTGCATTTTGTGGCCATCCTGATAGATAATAATCTTATAAAGCTTATTTCTTAACATCTGCAGAAAAAACATGTTTAAATTTAGTAAAATAAAGAAAATGCAATATTTTTAGGAATTTATTCCACGACGAAAACGTCCTATAATTGGTCGTCGTCACAACCAATCACGATTCTGTTTACTGGCCTGTGACGTCATCAGCTGTCATGTCAAAGTAGTGTTAGAAAGATGCATAAAATATCGATGCCTGTAGGTATCGAGTACTTTATAGTAATTTACTGATAACAGAATACTTTGCCGCTTCTACTGATAAGAACTGCCAAAAAGAAATAAAGAAAGAAAGAATAATTTACTAAGGTTTTTAAAAAATCCAAGATACAGGGAAAACGCCAGCAGTTTAAAAAAAGAGCAACTTATATGTTTTCTTATTTCTTGAACTTTAATATAATAATTCAAAATTACAAAGTCGATTTTGATGATATATACTGTTCTCCAAGTTAAAAACTAATTTAAAAAAATCATCGGGATCTGATATCTAATTATCAAATGCCATGCATTTAGTGGACAGACATACAATTTGCATGTATAAAAAAAAAGAACATTCTTTTTCGTACTAATGTCTCATCCATCTGTAGGTCGACAGGATGTAAAGTGCAAGCCCTGTCAACAAATATAAACGAGTCGTAAAATGTTTATGATAAAGAAAAAAAAAACAAAAAGAAAACCTTCAAATGTATCGATATGAAATAAAAAAGTTTCAATATTTTTAGTGAATCCTTACCTAATTTTATCACCCATCTCTAGTCTTTATAGCTACTATACTATTGTGATTGTGAATCTATTTTCTTCTAGGCTCAAAGTTTGTTTGTTGTTTATAGAAGTATTAGTACATTGTGGCACCACGTACCACTTGTAGCTCATTTTATAAAGAAAACCAGAGCAGAGGAAAATAAAAAACGTAAAAATACACACTACGACTTCAATTTTTCTTCTAAATTATTATTTCAATTTACTCTAAAGACAGTTGTTACTTATCGATTTGACA